CTTATACTTCCTCTTAATATTAGCTCCAAACTTCAACAGTGCCTGAGTGATGCATGTATTTGGACTTACAGTGATACACAGAAAAGAAAAGAAAAAAGAGAAAGAAAGGAGAAAAAGGAAAAGAGAATAGAGAAAAAAAGGTGAATACTATTGCATGTGGTGATGTTGCCTTGTGTTACAGCCTTCTGATTGTAGATAGATTCTTTGTACAGTATCTCACACTCTTTCTTGTAAATAATGATTGTTTTGCATTCCTCTTTGGAGGAAGAGAGGATTGATGGACTGTTGATGGGACCCATGGGGTCAGGAGGAATTATCCTCACTGTCCAATCCATGGTCACTGTTGGAATTCTATAAAGAAACATGAAATGTAAAGAAAAGGTTCTTTTCCTGCTTGATTCTTCGGAGTCATTGAGTGTGAGTCTCTCTCTCTCTCTGTCATAACAGCAACATGGTGACATTTTCTGACACTGTCTGGCTTAAATTCACTAATTAATTTCAGCAACAACAGAGAAAAATTAGTCTTTCCTCCTCCCTCTTCTCCCACCTATCACTTCTGTCAGGGCTCCTGAGTGACAGAGAGTAGGATTTTTGAGGGTATTTTTGTGTTTGAAAAATATCAGCCCTAGGTCTGACTCCATCTCCTTGAAGCATTCTGTGCCTTTCTGCAGGGAGATTTTGGGGGCAAATGAGCCAGAGAGGATACTCATCACTGATGCTCCTTTGTGGCAACTCCATGAAAAGTTCTTCTGTGAAAAGGTGAAGAAGTATATATTATGGGCTTCTGTTTCCACTTGCAAGGGGGATTTTAGAAACTCTTCTGGCTGATAATTCCCTGGCTACCAAAGACTCCTTGAGGTGACAAGAATACAAATGTTTATGAAATCCTAACCATCTCTCGTTTGTCTTAATAAACCAATATTTTATACCTTGTGTACGTTGCTTGCTGCATCTCTTTATGCACAATTAAAGTTGCTCAAAATGTCATATGAAATAAGGTAAGAGCACTGACTCAAGGAAAGGAAGTTGTCTTTGAAGCCTACTGTGCTTTATCAGCTGTGCTGTTGGGATGCTGCTCATCTTGGGATGTTCTTGGGGACTGCATTTACAACCTCACCCCATTATCAGTGTTGGTAGAACAGTGAGTTCATGTGTATGTCCTGACTTGGGTGACATTTAAGGGGTCAAAATTTGATCACAGGCTTCACCAACAGGATCACAGGTTGGTAAATCAAACAACTAAAGTTTAAGAGATTGCAGATTAGTATTTAAATATACAGTATTTAAATTCAAATTACCACAAAATGACTGTATTTTCATTATGAAAAAAAGTAAGCAATAAAATGGATGTATTAAACTCTGTAATTTTCTCTAAATTTTATGTTGAAACTGTATTTTCAATGATTTATCTCAATACTTAATTTCATCATTCAGTATTTTCCAAGATGCTTTCTATAACCAAAAGATGCATCATTTCCCTAGGAGACTGAGTAGCTGTTAGGAAAAGTAATTGCATACTAACAGCTCTATTAACATTTGGAAAAGTGTTCAAATTTCCAAAACAATTAAGAATTCAGAAATGGTTCAGATTTATCTACCTATTTTTCCCTAAAACCTTTAATGCTCTTGGGGTAGAATTCTGAAGACGTTCAATGTAAAATACAAATCATTATCCTGATAGATAAATGGAGTAAAACATGAAGACAGAGGTGCCAGGATCAAGCAGCAGCTCAACTACCTGCCAGAACAAGAGCCAGAATCCACATCTGCTCTTTCCTGGCCAGACATGCCTTCCAGGTAAGACTGTAGGAGCATTCTCTCCTGGCTTGGTCCTTTTGGTCACTACCTCTTGCAGAGCTGGACATGTTGCCCCTTGTTCCTCCTCTGATCCTGTTTGGCAGTCAGAATAGTTATCTAGAAAGTTGGTCATCTCAGGGCACAGCAACCATAAAATCCATGTTATGCCACTATCTTGGTCAATGTTCTATGTACTAGACACATGACTAACTCTGAATTCTGCCTCTTTCATGCTTTAAAAGGAAAAGATAAGTATTTTCTCCAAATCACAGAAAGTTACTGTTAATGTCAATTTGCATGATAGACATCAGGGAGCAGCCAATTTGTCCCTTTGTTTTAGGGTATTGGATTTGTGAGGTAATGTCTTGGTAGCAGGAGGGGCTACAGGGGTGGCTTCTGAGAGCAGCTGCCAGAAGTTGTCCACATGTCCAGCAGAGCCAATCCCTGGAGTCTCCAAGATGGACCTGCCCCTTGCCATGGCTAAGTCCATCAGTGATGGTGCTAGTGACACTGGGATGACAGAAGCAAATGCAGCCAGAGAGGAATGACAGTATCCAAACAAAAAAGCCCCAGACACCAAGGTCAGTGCACAGGGAGAGGCAGGAAGTGCCCCAGGTGCTGGAGCTGAAGTTCCCCTACAGCCCGTGGTGCAGACCATGGCAAGGCAGGTGTGCCCCTGCAGCCCATGGGGCAGCAGAGTTCCACCTGCAGCCTGTGGAGGAGCCCATGCTGGAGCACACGAAAACATCTGACACTGGAGCAGGTTTGCTGTCAGGACTTGAGACCCCACAGGGGACTCACACTGGAGCAGCCTCTTCCTGAGGGACTGCATCTGCAGGAGCCACACCAGAACACTTCGTGAAGAACTGATGCCTGTGGGAAGGACTCCTGTTACAAAAATTCAAAGAGGACTGTCTCCCCTGGGAAGAACCCCATGCTGGAGCAGGGGAAGAGTGTGAAGAGTCCTTCCTTTGAGGAAGGAGAAGAGATAGCGCGTGATGAAGTAACCACAGTGTTCACTCACCATCCTCCTGCACTACTTGCAGGGAGAGGTACAGAAAATCAGAGTGAAATTAAGCCTGGGAAAAAGGGAATGCTGTGGGAAAAGTGGTTAAAGATTTGGTTTTATTTTTCATTACTCTACTCTTAACTTATTGATAGTAAACTAATTTTCCCAAGTCAATCCAGTTTTGCCCATGACTGTAATTAATGAGTGATCTCTCCCTGCTCTTATCTCCACCCATGAATCTTTTGTTATATTTTCTCTCCCCTGTCCAGCTCAAGAGTGATGGAGCAGTACTGGTGTGCACCTGGTCTCCCACTGAGGTAAGCCCACCACATTCAGAAAGAAAAAACTCAGGGAGACTTTCCCCAGGGCATTTCTATCTAACTGGTTGGTGTCTCCTTCCTTTTTTCTTTCTCAAGTAAGCCCCAGTTAATTTAAGTCCAGCACTGAGCTGCCTCATGCTTCTGATTGACTACACAGGGAATGGAATATAGGCATCGGCAACTTTGGGGTGCTGCAGTGTTCAGTATATAGGTTTCTCTTAAGATATAGCCTAGTTTCTCTGTGAAGAAAGTCTCAAGAGCCATTTTGGAGTGTAGTAGCCAAATTTATTTCCACTGTAGAAGCACACTTGTTTCAGTAATAAAAAAATAATCTTTGCAGAATAAAAGTAAACCTGTAGTGGTATAAATATTATTTACTCGCACAAGAATTCACCTAAGTCACTCAACATATGTTTAGCCTTAGTATTCCCACAGTCCTACATCTCCAATGGAGTTAAGAAGACAGTTACTTGCAGAAAGATGAGAAAGTTGAAGTCTGGCTCAGATGGGATTTAAACATATATGAAATAATAGAAAGCTTCCTTCCTTGGGTGTTTCCTTTTTCTTGCTATATGACTACATTACCTATGAAAAATACTAACAGCCTTCAGCACTGACCATTTCTGTTTGTCTAATTAAAATAAATATATATACACAGAGAGCCACAGAAGCCTCTTCTGGCTGCCTTGCAGACGTGACCTTGGCACTGGCCAGGCAGAACCATCAATGAGTATAGAAGTGCTCAAGCTCAGGGGTTTGTAGGCTCAGTCTCCATTTCTGAGACTCCCATCACCAGCTACTGCCTTCCAAGACAAGGTCTAGCAATTTCCTTCAGGGGGTCATCACAGACTCATTAGACAGCATGGCTGATCCATCAATAAATCCCTGTGCTATGCTAACACAAGTGCTCTACTCCATACAGCATTATTAATGACCTGGTGAAACCAGCAGGCCAGCTTATAGTAGGTATGGCTAATGTGTAACTTTACCTAATATGAATACTTCATCCAAAAAAAAAAAAAAGAAAACCAAAAAAACCTCAAACCTATTTTCTGCACTCCCACTCAGTTCAAGCCATGGAACGACAGCAAATACAACCACAATGAATTTAACTTGCACTTTAACTTCTAGATAACTGTTCAACTGTTTTTCTCAATTGTGGGGGTGGAGAAAAAAGGTGTGGGGCGGAAATAAAATTTAATGAATCACTCTCATAATGACTCCGTATTCCTGTGTTCTGCCAAAATTATACTTCCTTACCATATAGGCTATTGTCAGCACCATGTCCTCATAGCAAACACTGATTTATTCTGATCCTTCCTTCCTGTTAGTACAGTGACAAAAAGTACAAGGTTCAGCCTTGTTTCTTCTCAAGGCCTCTGTGAGAGGAGGACACCAAAGTAATACAGCACAATACTGAAGACAAGAGAACATAACACTTAGGTTCTGATACACTGAAAAGCAATTTCACACATAAGCTCATTTATGTAGGCACATTGACATACTGAGCACCATTTTTTTTTCAGTTTAACATCAACGTTCAACTCTGAACAGAAGAATGTTAAGCCTCTAGGACAATTTCAGTATCAAGGAAAGAACTACTTCTAATTTAGAAACATCAAAACACTAACGTTGACACCTTAGCTGAGACGTTCACTGCAAGTGACCCTCTCTCTGAATTCGAAGGCGCTCCTTCTCCACTTGCAAGCGTTCCTTCTCAATCTGCAGCTTTTCTGACTCAAACTTTAGGAACTGTAGCCTTTCTTTCTCTAACTGCAAACGCTCCTTTTCAAGTTTTAACTTTTCAGTTTCTAGATCCAGAGGCTGCATGATGGGTTTTTCAGTTTGGGTGAGGTCATTTTCCAGGGCAGGTTTTTCAGCATGCAGAGTCTCTAGCCTGAGTTTCTCCCACTCAATCTGAAGTCGCTCCTTCTCAATCTGAAGCCTCTCACGCTCCAAGTCAACGTGCCGCAACCGCTCCTTCTCAATCTGCAGGCGCTCCTTCTCCACTTGCAACCTTTCAGCTTCAATGTCCAGTCGCTGTTTCTCCAGCTCCACCTTTTGCTTCTCCAGATTTATAAGCAAGTGAGAATCTTCATAGGCTAGCCTAGCTTGAGCAGAACTCAGATTTCCAAACTCTTCAATGTGGGGGAAGTCTGGTAGGTCATTTTCCTTTTTTGAATCTGGTAGAACCGATGACAGTATTTCTTCTTCTTCCTCAATAGGAAACTGCAGAGAGGAATGCAACAGACAAGAATTACATTCCAGTCCTTATGCCAGAATAAATTTGTTACATACAACTTGTCTGAAAAGAACATACTGCATTTGTTCATCTCTAAAGCTATTCAGAAGTGTTTAACTTGTAAGTTGTGAAATAACCATGCTGCATATCGGAAGATTTTATCATTACACAGGAATAAAAACAATTTAATATCTGGTAATGAAAAATGGAAAATCTTGTCAGTAAACATACAAGAACACCCAGAAAATAGAGCACAGTACTTATTACAGATCATTCAGAACAACTGATAGAAAACTGGATCTAGAAGACCATATGTTGTTCTTACCTTTCATAGAGCTGAGTGACATTTATGTAAGCCACCAGGCATTTGTTGTGACTAATTATTTATCAGAGCAGATGGATCCATAGGCTATGTGTTATGTAAGCTAGCCTAACCTTCAATAACTTGAGCTATTCCATTCCTAAAAAACATTTAACACTGACATTTTTCACATGCTCCTAACTCTTCCAACTCTATTAAGTGGGTCAATAAGCAGGACTTGTTTAACCATTTGGTATTATCATATTTGCTGTAAAGCTATTTGTGACACAGATTATGAGGTGGTTAGGACCACTGCTCTGGGCAAACTGTAACATTTTGTGTAGTATCACAGCCCTCACATGCTACAAATTCATAGCACAAAAGAGATAAATTGTCTCCCAATATGTATGCTGCAAGAGAAAGGCAAACTGAGGAAGGTAAGTGCTCAGAAAAACCTTAGAACTAGGAGAGCCACTGCCAGCCCTCTAGCATTAAAGAAGACACACACTGCTCTTCAGTATTGTCTGACAGTAGTTCTCACTACATCTAACAGCTTACACTGGTTTTCTCCCAGCATAAGTATCAACGGAGTTAAGACAGGAGTTGCTTCCCCACTCCTCCCACTCAGGGGAAAAAAAAAAAATCTCCCCCCTAAAAAACTCAAAGCAATAAAATACCCCTAACAAAATTGTTTGAGTACCCCTTTTGGAAAAGAGAACTATGCATTTAAAGAAGAACAGCAAAACTATCCCAACATTTGACTGCACTCCAGCTGGTTGCCTATCCCAGGACAGTCTACTGGACAGTACTACTAGGAGTATCAACTTGTCTATAGAATCCACTACTGCTGATCAACTTCACACTAAAATTCTGATGGAGAGGAAAGGCTGACTAACTAATTCAAGTAATGTTTTCATCTCCTGTAGGCTCATTTCAAGAAATGCAACCAGTATCATATTTCTTTCTGTATCTGCAGGTAACATGTATTTTCATTTGTTAAAGATGAGCACTTCTCCATTCATCCATCGAGGCAGTCTGAATACTAACATGACCAGTTTCCTTCAACAGCATATTTTCCTTGCATTGACTCAACTAATTCTTACCTGTGGCACTCATAAATGGAAAATACATATACAAAGACATACTCAAAGCTTAGGGATATCAAATCAGTAATCAACATCCAAGACCTTACATACATTTGCAAGTTGCTAGATTTGAATATCATGCCTCAGAAAAAAACAGAAACAGATGCTATGAAGAAACACAGTAAGAAGCCTTATGTTGAAATGAAGCAAAGGCCATATTGCATATAGCTCATTTATGTCAGTCACTCACTTCAAAATTCTGTGGATCCTCCTCTTCCTCTTCTACTTTGATTTCTGTTAAAGATCCACCGGCTTCTCTGAAGTCAGTGATATTCTGCCATTCAAAACTAGATTCAATTGCAAATCCCATTTTCTCATCCATGTCTTCATTGAGAGAGTCATCTAAATTGGATGAAGGAAGGTGAAACCCAGCACCTACTACTTTGATGTTTGCATTCAGACGTTTTCTCTTCATGAGTGCTCTCCAGTCAAGGTATCGCCTTTTCACCTCTGTCCCTGTTCTCTGCTCTCCTTCACCTACTGCATTGACACACTCTGCTATTTCCTCCCAAGCTTTCCGTTTCATCTCATTAATTGTTGTATTAAGTTGCTTCGAAAAGAGTACCTCTCTCCTTTTTCTGATTTCCTTAAGGAGAGTTTGAGTTTCCTGAACACTAAAATTGCTTTTTCTTTTTCTTTTTAACTGTTTCATTTTTTCCAGGCTTAACCTAGCAATTTCACCACAGCAGACTACAGAGATGATCTGACACTAATCAGCTACTAATATAAATAAACTTAAAAGCAAATGAAAGCAGAGCTCAGTTCTCATGAAGTAAATTTTCTCTTCACTTTGTTGTATTTTTCTATTTGTCAGGCTTCCTAAGAGAAAAAGAGCAAACAAGATAAATCTCCAAGGTATACACCATATATTTTCATTTAACAACTTGAATCCAAAGTCATCATTTAAGGAATGCATATTTTAAACTAACTGTTTATTTGATAAAGGAAAACCCTTTTGTTCAATTTTCAATACAAAGTAGTCATAGATACTTCCTCTAATTTTCTATGAATTGTAAAACCATTAATGTATCTATGTCATGAACTGTTAAGGTTGATTTGATATTTCCATTACGAAAGTACAGCTATTTTTCTTCAGCTCTTAAGAATTTTGTCAATCTGCATTTCCTTAAGACTGAAATTTGACACACACATTTCAGTTTGAATGCCCAATTACTTACAAGAGAAGCTGAAATTGTTATATCATTACTTCAAAAACATGAAATGTTTCGGGGAGCGAAATTTCTGAGACACATTTTGAATAAGACACCATTTTCATTAAAAGAAAAAAAGTAAATTAATATGAGAAGCAGACATTTTCGAGGCTATTCTAACTTAACATAATCATAAATAAAAGTACTGAAGCAATCCTTTTGAATGTCATAAAATAACTACTAGCTCAGACAAATGTCATTCATTAGACATTTTAACAGGAAATAGATTTAAGTCACTATATGCCCACAGTAAAACCCTCCCATGTCCTCCTCATGTTGCTAAACATCTCATGTCAGATACCATGCCAGCTTTAAAGTTCATCCAGTGTTCTACCCTCAGCACCAGCTGGTCCTGTGCCTGATGCTGAAGAGAACTCAAACCCCCATAATTCACCTGACAGACTGTGTGCAACTCTGCAGAGAAGTGGAGGTGAATGGGAGGAAGAGGGGACTATTAATGCAGTAATGAATATTATTACTGCATTAATAACAGATCATATTACCAAAAAAACCAAACCCAAAACAACCCACCAAAACCTGGAAGCAAAGACTAAGAATCAAAAATGGTTCTGGGTCACAGACTGCTTGGCAATAGGTCCAATTCAGGATTATTCTGAACAGTCTATTGAACCATGTTACATACCACTGCAGGTAGGTTTAAAAGGCTTTAAGTCAAGGGTGTGAGGGATTCACTATACATTGCAGGCAGTTTCAAGCTGCTGTTTGCTCACTGTTCATGCAGTAGGGACATTTGTTCACGTGAAGGCAAATGGCTTCCAGATTACAGATTCAATTGTTACTAACTAAGGGACTTAATTCTTAAATAACTCCCTCCCAGCTATACAGGATTCTTAAATTACCAAGTATTTTTCCTCCTACTGTTCTCCCTAAACTTGGTTAAAGCATCTACATCAGCACATTGCACAACTCCCCACTTGGGGAATAATGTCTAGTAGTTTAGACGTTGTTCTTCATCTCCTATACACTACTGACTGTAAGTGGCTCACTTGCAGTTTTCCACGTCAAGCAACATTCTTTCATAGCCAGCACGTAAGCATGCTGCCATCAAGTATTCTTTCAAATACTGCATTTGAAAAACTGCTTTACTACTTTTGCTCACTAATACACTACTCTCACTGTGAAGCCACTTATTTCCAATGATTACTAGGTAGCAAATCTGCAAAACCATGTCCCAGGAAGAAATCAGCTGCTTATAAAGCACAGGCCTGGTATGAGCACATACCACTCTACAGTGCTCCCATGTAGCTATCCAGCACTTTGGACACCTCAGACTCAAGTAGGAAGCTGCATGCTGCTGTTCAGGATGTGTGATACTTTCTGTCCTTCTGAAAAATAAAATCCCAAGTGTTTTCGAGGAAAGGGAATTATTTTTAAAAAGTATGTAACCTACTCCTTCAATGCAGACCCTAAACTTGACATGACAAATAGTTTAAAAAAAAAAAAGTCGTAGTGTAGAAAGTCAGATTTATACCAGAAGACAAACTCTATCTGCTAGAAAGACACCAAATTCTTCTGAGACCTTTTATCTGATCTTTAAGCATACTCCTTAGCAGACTTCTGCTGAATGACAGCCATTTTCATCTCAAGGTATATACGGGTTAAGTCCTTTACTTAGCCTCAGCTAGGTGAACAAGGTTCTTCTGGTCATTCCAAAATGGAACATTCCAAGGAACCACAGGAATTTACAAACTCATTTGGTATCTCTAGTTACCCTGGCTTCTTCCAAATTTCTCAGGGCTAGCACAACAGGATAATGCGGGCACAAACACAGAAAAACAAACAATAATAAACTGAGTTTCCAAATCAAATTTTCATCATCTTCCAAATACAGTTCTACATCATAATGGAAAATGCTGACAGGTAAGCTTTCTCCTCAGCTCAGGAAGATGTCAGGCCACCCTGTGGGGCAGCCCACAGCAGTGCTCTGCATCACCTGACTGATCTCCCCAGCCATGCTTTGAAGAATCTAATCTCAGTTTTTGATTTTATGCCATAAACCAAGGACACAGAACTACAATTGTTTAAGAACTACAATACTAACTTGGAAACCATTGGCATCCAATTCCTTTACTAAGTAAAGTTTTCTTTTAGACTTTTTTAACGTTTTGCTAGAACACATCTGATAAAAGCCCCTGAATTTACCCGTGAAACATCAGCAAAACCTATATATTTTAAAACTCATGACTACCAACTTCCAATTGGTAAGGACATCTTTAACTCTTTAAGGACCATTCCTTTCTAATTAATATAAATGGAGTTCGTGAATTGTGCTAACAGTATATTTACTCCCAGAGATGGCTCTGTGTACCTATCTGATATATTAACTAAAAAACATCTAACAAAAGCTGAGATTTGGGATATTCAGGTCTTAGCCATTGTCAGATGGTCTCTAGGATATTCTTTAATGAGGAAAAATGAGCTGTTGCATACACAAAGTACATAAGAGATGAGAATGTAAATAAGCTAGGATTTGTACACCTTCTAGATAGCTACAGGAAAAAAACCCTAATATCCCAAATCTCAGCAGCTGGGATAGTATTAATGCTCATCTGAGTAGCTGGGACAACGCTGTGTTTTGGATTAGTATGACAATAAAGTTGGCAACACAGCAAAGTGTTGGTTGCGGTTAAGTTTTAAACCAAGGACTTTTCAGTTTCCCATGCTCTGCCAGTGAGGAGGTGCTCAAGAAGCTAGGGTGAACTGCAATGCAGAATGCGTACTTTTACGGTTTGGGTAGAAATGTGAAGTGCTGGCAAAAAAACCCAAAAAAACAAAAAAACAATTCTGATAACATCATAAAGACTTCAAGGGTCTTCCAGAAAAGATCGCAACATGGAGCTTTGATTTTGGGTCTGTCGGGCCAAAAGCAACTTGTGATCAAACAGGCTCTCATCACTACACCAAAGAAACACAAACTTTTGGGGTGAAAAGAAACAAGTACTGCAAAACTAAGCTGGAAACTCCATAAACAGATAGAACACGCATGCACTGAATAACTGGCATACTTAAAGGCAGAAGCATCCTCATTCTGCCTCTTTTCTGTCTCTTTTGTTCACACTTTGTCTGACCATGTGTTGGACCAACAAAAAAAAATAAAGTAGCAAATGCCCCAAACAAGCAATAAAGCAAACTAAAAGATCCATTCATCCACCACAAATGGAAGACCGTTGCTAGCATCAAGCTTCAATTTTATGAAAATCATGGCTTTTTACAAAAGATGATGTCCTGATTTCTTTAACTTTTAGGGCTTATGCTTGAATAAAAAACCATTCAAATTACGAGGACCTGCTATCTCTAAGTTTCTTTAAACAAAATTAGAGTCTTGACTATTTTCTGCCTAAGGCTTTTTAGAAAACTTTTTTTGGGATTCCTAACACACGGCTACATTAGTTTGGAACAACTTAGGCTTTTGTACAAAGGCCTTTAAAACAGGAGGATCTGGGTGCTGTACAACACACCACCCAACACAGCCCTGCAAGAAGCCCGCGGTTTATACAAACGAAAAAGGAGGCACAGAAGGGAACCAACAACACCTTAAAGGACAATTCAAAGAAGCAGGGAGAAAGCAGAAAGAAGAGGGGAAGCAGCTGGGGACTCAGGCTATTGAAGGCACACTTATCAGGCCGAAGCTCCCCTTCCCTGGACGAGCCAAGGCCACAAGGGGAACGAAATCCTGGTCCCTGCTCGGGGAGCGCGCTCGGAGCGCTGAGGGCGGGCACAGCCGCGGGTCCGGGGCCAGCGGTCCCAGCCGCAGCGCTAAAGGGAAAGCAAGGCGGCAACAAAGGGAGGCGGGGGCACGGCCGGCTGCCCCGACCAGCACAGCCCGGGTCCCAGGGAGCAGATAGGCCCGTGGGCCCTGCTGCAAGACAGGGCCTCTCCGGCCGGCAGGGCCCTGCGACTCTCCCGGGACTAGGAGAAATAGGGACACGACCTCCCCATGGGAAAATAAAACGACGGGCAATCTCCTCACCACCCGCAGGGCCCGAGGGCAGCGGGGCTCCACCACTCTACCCCCGGGAGGGCGGCGAGGGCTGCCCACACGCCGGGGGGAAGCAGCCCCCCCTCCCCATCCCCAGGCCGGTCCCGCTGCCCGCCCCGCCCGGTCCCCGGGGACCACGCGCGCGACTCACCTGCGCCCGGCGCTCCCCTCCGGGCCGCCGGCCCTTTAACGGCCACCGCCCTCCCATTGGGCGAGCCGCCTGCCTATCACTCTTCCCCGCACGCCTATTGGTGGCCTGTGTCCGCCTCTTCCCCCGCCCCGCCCTGCCGCGCCAGGCGGGCCGGAATCCCCGTCGCTCCTCCGCCGGCGGGGCCGCGCCGCGCTCAGCCACCGGGCAGCCATTGGCTGCAGCCGCTGCTTGTCTTCCTCAGGCGTGATGGTGATTGGCTGCGAGTTGTCGCGGCCCGCCCCCTCAGCTCGGGCCCCTCCGCGGGGTGGGTTCGGTGCTGCCGCTTCGCCGGAGGGCGCGGCGTGGGGTGGGGCCCGGTGTAACCGGCGGCGGCCTGCGAGGGTGACGGGGAGGGGCGGAGCGGCAGGGTCCCAACCCGAGTGTGCGGGACAGCCGTGCATAAGCCAGCGGTGTGGCCGCCAGGTCTATGATGCTGCTACCCAGAGCAAGCGCGCGGCAACCGGCTGTTCCTCCTGAACTGCGCGGTTTGTGACTAAAACGGAGAAGTGACGTTTATCGCTTAGTGTAATTAAAGAAATCAAAGTATTTTTCGGGAACTGCTGCATGTATGAGCCACCACGCCGTTGAAGTGGGTGAATATACACACAAAACGCTTTCCCGAACTGCTCCCCCCCGCCACACAAGATGTGTCTGGTCCTTGCCTCCTGTGTTACATCCTGGTGCCTTGATCATGTAACCCGACCTTTTCCAAGTTTGGTACCTCTATTCGACCTAACCTGATGTGTGCATTTATTACTCTGCATATTCGTTAAGTTACTTGCTCAGTCTTTCCAAGTTCTTTCACTGGACGGGTAGTAATTTGCTTAATACAGCTTTAAGTGAACATTATTGTGATGAAACTACAAATCTCCCTAAAATGGTATTTTCCAGTTTCAGCCAACTATTAATTTACCAGTTTGCTAACAGGTAGTGATATCTGCTATCTGCTTGTCCACTATGTACTGAAAATCAAGTTAAAAAGGAAAATGGTGTTATTCCTCATTGAATACCCTTCTTTTATTGTGAAGGACAAACCCACTAAATATTATTAGTCTCCATTAGAATAATTTTAACTAGGAATCATGTGATTTCATAGAGTAGCCATGCGCATAAACCTAAATAGCTCTATTTTGTCTCAAAATTGTTACTCTACTTTTATGGAGGCTGTTGATCACTGGTGAAAAATCCTGGCGTATACCAGCTTCCTCCAACAAAAATCCTTAGACCTCCTTCATTAATGTGAACTGTCTTGAGTTTATGTGTAATTTATGTGTATTTTAATAATTAAATCCAGATTCTTTCTTCCTTGCTTTTGATGACAGTAAGAAAATCCCTGCCATATGGTCTACTTCAGCTGCAAACTGTTAACTCCATGGTGAATTCCCGGATCTCTAGAACATACAAACACAATTTCCTTATGTTTGTTCGCAGGATTACGCAATTTAAACTCTCAGATTTGGTCTGTGAATCCCTTCATTGCTCAATATACGCTTTTAATATTGTGAGTGATGTTGAAATGTTTTGTACATGCCTCCAAAAGGCTTTTGCTAGCTGAAAGGCTTTTGGGGCAAAGGCCTTGGAGTGTTGCAAGGTTAATTTGTATTGCCCTTACTCTAATTTATCTATAGAAGAGTCTCGAGGATACAAAATTTTAAATTTTGGAAGAACACAAGACAACACTGGGCTCCGTTACTTTGTATCGATGCCACTTCTGCAAGCCTTGGCTCGAAAATTTTAGACTCTGTACCTTTTATCTCCTTTTATTTAAAGCTACTTCTACTACTAGTATGGAAGGTCCATTTCAGTAAAAATAAACATCCAATCATTTGCAATATTTAAAATGTTAAAAAAACCTGTATATTATTCTGATCTAATTTTTAAAAATTATAACAGTTTGAGTACCTTACAATGGCAAACATAAGAACTTTTCAGCAGACAATTAAAATTAGCATGGGTACAGTAACTCAATATGCAAAGGATATACAAATATAAGATCCAAGGATAATTATAAACCCCCCTCACAGCAGTTTTCACCCATGCTAAGTGGATTCTTGATCATAGCGTTCAAAAGGTTCTCCAATTGAAAATAAACCCCCAAAGAGACTAGCTGCAGTTTGGAAAAAAAAAAAAAAAAGGCCCAAGAAGGATTTAGTTGCTCAGTGCTTTATTTCACAAAAGAATGAACATCTCAGCAAATGTGTAGTATTGTACTTTCCACATATCAGCAGAGCCCAGGCAGCAGCGAAATGTTACTGTTTTCTATGCTTTATTGGGTGTTAGAAGGAAAAAAGTAAATTTAGCATAATGTTCAACTATAAATATTGTCAAATATATCCAGTTTTCAGCCTGTTTTAATTAAAGTAGATCTTATGCTGCCTCCTGTTGGTCACCTACAAACAGAAACATCTAAACTTAATCTCCACATTAGGAACTGCAGTCAGCACATTCTATAGCCTATACCTTACCTACTACCCTATATTAACCAGAGGAGGTAAACAGTTTTCTTCACAGAGTAATACCATAAATAAATCTGACCCAGAAAATCTACTCCATTTTGCGAATATAACAAATTTTTAACAGCAGTAAACTGACTTACTACAAATGTATTTAGAATATAGAAAACAAATTAGTCCTTAAATAATAATTATCAGGTCTGTGCAAACATAATCAATAAAACACCTGAATAATTGATATTTCTTATAACAACTAAACCAGAATGATAATATTACCAAAGTGCCATAATGTTTTGATAGCATTCTTTAAAAATTAAGATTATCCAATATAATCATCACTGGATATTAAAATCCCACATACAATATATATTATCTTTGTGCATATTATACTGGTCATGCTTATAATGTATTCTGTGACATAAAATAGAATACTCTTAGAAATGTTTTGGTTACATCATTTAAGTGCAAAGAGTAGTTTATAATTTTACATGCATTTTGTGTGTTTCAACATCACTATTTCAGTGAGAACATACGTAATCATTAATCTAGTTACTGACTATTTTTAGAGGAAGGTACTTTTTCATAAAGCTTTGATTCAAAGAGCTTTGAAAAGTCATAAATGATATTTAAAAACTCACTTTGCATTAATTTTGTGACTTTTTTAGTTGCATAAATGCCATGTAGACTGAAAAATGTTTGATCCAGACTACAACAGTTATTCATGCAAGTAATTCATATTCTTTTGTGTAGTTCACTGAGATTTCTTACATCTTTAGCAATTAATCACAGGGATTTGAACATAGGTCCTTACTTCTATCATAAAGCCTTGTTTTTAACCATGACTTTCTAACGCTTCTGCTTTTTCTGCATTCAGTTATTTTACTAGATTTAATACTTTGTATGTGGAAATGTGGCAACTGATCCTTTTCCTTCTGTGAGAGATGTAGTACAGGTTTACCTGCTTAACTGCAGAAAATCAGTACCATTTCACAGTAACTCTTCTGTAAGCAATGCTAGAAAGTAACTGACATCACTACATTATTTCCTGATCACTGAGCAAGAGCTCAACTCCCTGTGAAACCCATGAATGATTTGTCAAACTGGGACTGACATTAGTTCCTGCACAAGTGTAGTGTAAAATAGTAAAGCATGTCTATTTTCTCAATTCAGCTTCAGTCAGTTTTCACTGTCTATACTGAGGAATTTTTCACATACGTCATTGCTCTGTCTGATGTCAGATGCCAGTCTTACAGCAAGTAGCTGGGTGGAAGACTGCAAAAAAATCTGCTGTGGGGAAAAACTTAGGGGAAAGAGCATCACCTGAATGACTCACTCACTTGCTGTTAATGTGATCCAGCAACTTGGTCATGACAGTGGCAATTAAAACACTCTTGCAATTCTCTAGTCTCTTCCAATTTGCATAGCTATTTATACCCATGTACTATGGGCATAATATGTTACATTTCTCTATGCATAAATTGCATACTCATATTACCCAGGTATAAATACAAATACACAAGCAAAGGTGAATTGGACCTTGTATTTCAATGATGTGATAAGCTGTAATAAGTAATGGTTAATGAAGTCTCTACGCTACCCTGAGTAGCTTCATTAAAACTAGAACTACCATTTTCCTATCTGTTTGGTTTTTTCCTATTGTTTCAGTAAGTAGGAATAGTATTCTTCTTCTCTCTACTCAATACATTTGCTTTGCACTAACAAAAAGCAGTTGGGTCCCAATATAAAAATACTTGTGTTTCTGTAAGGTGATTGTAAAGGTTACCTAGCTATGTTTAGTTAAAATATGGAGACCTATTATGAAAAAAACCCCAAAATAAATCTGGAAGTTGCCTGAAATACTGCAGCAAGCTACTTACTTCTACAGAACGGACACATATATTACTATACAGAAATTATTGAGTGGAAGGGTCCTGCTCTATTAACATGTTCTCCAAATGTACATGGTTTTATTTTACATACTTAAGAAAATTGTTATGATGAATGTTATCTAAATTTGTAAAGGTATCTGATAACAGAGTCAATCACAGAATTGGAACCTCCCATTGTTTACTGTTTAAAACAGAAGCATGTTCTAGGCAATATTAAGCTTCAAGCATTAATATTCAGCTTGGGTTTTGCAAAGAGTACATGCAGTAGTGATGTGATAATGAACTTACCACAGTTGTCTCAAGACATGAAAGATGTCTCTAATGCCTCACTAAATTTTATTCATGATTTAAACTGCTTGAAAAGATGTGATTAAATGTTTAGAACCATTATTCTGTCTGGCAGAAGACAACCTTACTACTTTCACAATACTTACATGGAATATAAAGGCTCTGTGTCTTATCTGGATACCTGGTAAGAAAGGAAATTTTCAGGCTGTGGAAGATTACAAATTAATTTACAAAACTTAGCTAATTTCATTGTCCTGTCAGAAAGAGGACTGACTTTGTAAGCATGAGATCAAATTTACTTCACAACATATTTCTAGACTAATATTAGCACTAAAAGTCCATTACAATTTTAACATTATCATAGCTGACTACTTAATAAAGTTTAATATATTTATTGTGTAGTGTTTACTGTGTAATATTTTAACATCTAAAATTACCATGAAGTTCAAGATAAAGTGTTTTAATTAATTTAAACCACAAGAGATGATTTCTCACCTCAGAAATACTATTTACTATTGACTTTTAATATGGGGGTGTCATTTTGTAATTTTGTATTTGAAGCATGACAAGATACAAACTTTTCCCATAGTTAACAGAAGCAACAGCTATGATTTTTTTTACAGCTTGCTGCTATAAGCAGCCTAGTGACTGCTTAGTAGGTAGCACTGAAGACTTCAGAGATGGAAGACTTCTGTTAGAAAACATCCTGAATTGTTTTTTCTTTAGTTAGCAACACGACTGAAGCAAAGATATTGCATGAATCATCTATCGTGTACAAGTCTTACCTACCCTGCAGTATGTTACGGAAGTTTACTTTGCCACAGTTAATGGAATGGAAACAGAAAATAAAGCTACTACTAAGGCACAAGGATGGAGAAAAACTGGTAAAACTGAAGAGCTGAAGTAAGATGACGGGAATTATCAGTCTCTTCAAGTTAGATACCTGGTTTTAATACTGTGAAGGTCACTTTGGCTCTTGTCCTTGCTAAGGTCATTGTGATAAGATAAAGCTGACAACAAATTCCTCTGACATGTTTATGAACATAGAAAATCTAAATAATACTAATGAAAATGTCTTTTAAACTTCAGTTACATAGGGAAAACAGTATCACAGTCAGTTTTCTCATTTAGCAATTTGTCTATTGGGACAACTGTGAATATTACAGAAATAATGGCACATATTACACAACTAATTCCTCATGAGTATTACTTTTGGAAAATTAATATTATTTTGAAAAATATTTTTATAATTACAGGGAAGAGCTGTATATAAAATTAAGTAATACTGTCCATATAATGACTAGCATGAATGACATTTTAATGGACTCTTCCAAAAGCAATCCTACAGCATTTAATTTAAACTGAAAATTTAAACAAATGAGTACATATTTCTTCATCTGTAAACTAATACTTAAAAACTGTTCTACAACTTGTGCATTTAAATACTCTTTTGACTTGGGAGTTTCAAAATTCTCCAGAGCAAATTGTCAGTACAGGTGACCAGGGGTCTCTGTATTTATTAAACTGAATGACCTGACAGTAAAACTCAGTTAAGGCTCTTGGCATTGGTGAAACTTCTTCCCACTCAGACCTACTACTGTGGTAGACTTGAACTTCATCTGTGATTTCTTCTGGAGCATAATCACCACCTAGTATATAAATTTTGTCTTCTGTCCCAACTGCCCCTGCATTAAAGCCAGCACATTCAAAAGATCCTTCCCCTTTCCAAACACAGGTTTCTGGGCAAAAACTGTAGACCTTGTAGGTGGAGAGATCACATATGTACAATGTACAGTTCACTGGAACAGCTTTGATTAGAGTTGCATGGAAAAACTGCCCAAATTCTGCTACAAGCTCAGACCACTGATCAGTCATAGCGTTATACTTAAAGAAACAGTCAAGAGACGGATTAAAGGCATCAGTAATCTCTACTTCTGAGCCAAGGACATAAATGATATTCTGGCATGCACTTGCTTCTGGATAGTAGATACCTCTTGGTAACTGGCTTACAGATTTCCAGTCTTTGGAAAGAGGATTATAGGATTCTACATCCAAAAGACTCCGAGTTTCTTGAGCTCCTCTGGTCTTTCCACCTATTACAAAGAGCTGATTTAAGGTTACAACAGATGTGTGCATTGTCCTCGGTTTTTTCATAGCTGACACTATGGAGAATTCATTGCTGACTGGACAGTAGCACCAGGTTTGGTCAGTGGCATCATGAAACGGCTCAGCAATATGAAGCCTGACAGTCCTATAACAATTCCCCTTGCATCCTCCAGTTATAAAAATTTTTTCTCCATAGCTAGACAAACTTGACCCTGGCAGATCAATCATGTGTGTATGTGGTAGTTCTTTCCATTTATCTGTTTTGATGTTGTAGCAGAATGTATGTCTGTTTTCTCCATCTTCATCAGTTTTATGAACAAATATATATTTTTCTGTTGTTGAAGGACGTGCATCTGGAAACAATCCACTGAAGTTCTGCACACTTTTAACTGCATCACTGATTATTACTGAGCAATTAGCACTCTTAAGTAAGTGTTCTTCAGAATGCAGAAAGTCCTGCAAAGTCTTTTCAGGTAACTGGTGTAATCTCACTTTTTTAATCAAATTAGGTAGGTATTTCTGCCGTGTTTCTAAGTTGTGTTTGGTCCATTGGAGGACAGCTTTCAACACTGATTCTTCCTCAGGGACATTTAATTCATCAGCCTCAAGACATTTTTGTAATATCTCAAAATTCATCTCCAAGAAATCACTCGATCTGAGCAGCAATGAAAAGTGGTGTTGTACAAAATCTAGTGCATGATCAAACAAGCGGACAGACCCATAACTTTCTGATAGAGAAAGCAACTGTAAGCAATTCACAAGATCAATACTTTTTATTAGGAAGTCGCTGCAAGCTTTGGAAAGGAGTGAAACTTGAAGAAATGACGACAGTTGGAAGAGCATTTCCACATTATCATTGGTTATCTCTGTTTTTCCCGTGTAGGCATAATCAAGAAAAGCTTTCACTGCCTTGGGTGATAGATTACTAATAGTAACATTGCCATCATCCCGTTCTTTCATATTAACTTCAAACATGGCTCTGTGAATAGAATACAGAAGATATACACACACATTAAAGATTCAGCAAACAGACGGCAACACTGATGTGAAAGGAGACAATCAGGGACATGTAATAATGTAGGCTGGTCTAAAATAGGTCTAAAATATGGAAGTTCTTATGTGAATAATGAATTTATTTGGTGTGTTTGAAGAAACAAATGATTAGTGACAAAAACATATTCAAAGTGATGGCTTAACAAAATCATAGCAGCACTTGTGTTTTGTATGGATTTTCACAAACTGATGAAGTCTGCAGCTCTCAATGTGACAGAAAATGTGAAAGTGTTCGGGACATCATCAGTTTCAACTTTGAGAAAGAAAGCTGATTTAAAAAAATACATAGTAAAAAAGGCCCCATGAGCTAGGTCATGCAATGTGGATGAGTATATAAAATTATGTGGGAAAAAAAAAGCCTTCCAAATTGCAGGCTGAGCAAATGGCCGGACAGATGATGGGTGTAGTCCTGAGAAATAAATATAGGTGAGGGGTAAATGAGGAGAAAAAACACAAGGAAACTTAATTCTTGCTTTAGAGTTGACAGAGAGATGTATGAGTACAGGCCAATGTCAGAAAAAAAATGAGGTTTTGACATATGATTGCCTGCCACAGTGAAACTGTGCAGAAAGTAGATTGTGACTGAATACAAAGATGATGGTTGAAACTGTGAAATTTTATTACAACTTTAACTGCTTTATTCCAATTATGTAATAAAATTTAACTCTTTCACACAATCTAACATGTCAAGACAAAATAATTAGTTTCACAAGCAGGTAAGTGCTGGCAAGAGAACAGTGCTGCAAAATCCCTTGCCCTACTCTCTCAGAGCCTAAGCCTCAAGCTAGGATAGCAGTGGCTTCTGAATAAGATAACAGTGGAGGAAGAGTTGAATAAATCATGAAATGTGAAGTAGAGAATCTGGATATTAATATACCATATTCAATTCATATTTAGAAAACGTGTTCTTTTATATCACAGTTCAGTTATATACTTAGTGTCTCTGTTGTATCTCTGTTCCTTTCCTGAAGCCAAAGAGGAAAAAAAAAAATCACTGCGTATAGCACATACTCTTTGGGGCAGGAACTTGTCTGACTCTGTGAACAAGAACATAAAATAAGACACCTGTGTCTCCAAGACCTCTTTGCATACTAAGTGGTGACCTTATAATCCTTTCTGCATTAACCATTCATGAGCTATGAAATCTCTAATTAGGGAGTAAAATAGCAACTGAACAATACCAGTAGAAGAGCAATGTAGGGAAAGGCTTTGACTCTGAAAGCTAGCAAGTAAGGATCAAAATGTTGCTCATTCTTTGGTTTACACAATGAAGCCAAAACTAAGAGAAGTCCGAAGACCAAGGAAGAGAAAAGGTGTTCCATTTTAAAATGTATGTAGTGGACTTAGGTTCCTTGAAGGTAAAAAATGGGCCTTGCATTCCAGGATAACTTATGAATCTGATGGCTGCTATTATCTACCATATCAATCATTAGAAGCAGGCATCTCTCTTGGTAGATTTTAATCTGAAGAGCCTGTAGATAATGAAAAGGATACATGGGTTTCCATGAGCTTAACTTCAGTTCTATAAATTACCACTGGAAGCTATTTCATCCTAGTATTTCTTTCTACCAGATTATCTCAGTGCTGTGAAGCAATTAAAGACAAGTGAAAGTAGTCCTGTGTGTCAGAGAAAAAAACAAATCTGCTCCTAAAGTGGGTAAAGTGCTCATTTCATCCACATTTCTTCTTTTTTTCAGTAATTCTTAGAACATATCTAGCTATCTTATGTCATATATGGCAGACTCAAACTCATGGGATGTTCCAGGACATTTGAAAATAACACTCACCTATGTATGGGCAACTGAATTCAAGCTATTAACTCATTCTCAGGAGTCCATTTTCTCATTGTTAAGAGTCTTAACTTTGTTTTTAGTAAACTGTATTCGGAAACACTTTCGGTGTGGAACTGCAAATTTGAACCTTTCTAATAAAAAAGGATAGCAAGGCTTTTTTATAAATTAATATTCTGTATGTGAATGAAGGCTGTCCCTTAAGAATACATAGCCTTAAGCACAAGAAGGAAGATCCATTTCATGCTGAAAGGCTGAAATCTGTAGTTTAGGAAAAGTATGCCCATCTGTTTAAACACCTCTGAAGACAATCTCTACTATACTGACCACTCTTCTTGGACAAACACAAACCAGTTCCATTCCAAAGTTATGTACAATTTATCCACAATTGCTCAGTACAAGATATATTTGCAATCAATCTGTTATGTTTCACAATATAAATGTGTCATATTACATAGACTATCAAATTCAAACAATATCCTTGCAGACCTTTATGTACTGATATGGGCAACAGGTAACTCTTAAAAATACATAACTTGCATCAGTTCTACCTAACAGCAGAACCACACATTTATGATTTGAAACTTGTATTTCAGAGTTTCAACTGCTGTTAGAATCTGATTCACAGAGTCCTCATGGCTTTTTGAAAATACAAAGAGCTGTATCTGGAATACCCTTAAAATGATGTTTGAATGTTTTTCTCAAAACTCTGCAGATATATATAAATTGTGATAATTCTTTTAACTTTTATTTTTAATTCTCTTCTTTCCCTCCCTCCCAGAGAACTTAGAATCTCTTTCCTGTAAACTCATGCCAAAATTAGGTTTACCTGAAAAAATCACTGCATGCTGCCAGTACACAACGATGACAGGGAATTATTTCATCTTTCACAAGAATTTTAAAATCAAAAAATGTGTTTTGTTCTCTGAACTTTTGTAGTACTTTTAGAATTTGTTGTCCATGACCTTCAGCCACTAAGGAATTGATTTTATTTTCAGGAACAGAAATTCCATTGCAAATAGGTCTGCTAATGTAATCCCGTTGATTGGCCATGTTTTCTTCAATCTATTCCTGAAATGGAAAAATAAGCAATTGATTCTACAGTCTTATTATTAAAAAAACCCAAACAAAATCTATACACCATATAACAAAGAAGTTCCCAGCATTGAATTTAGTTTGTAAATAATATGCACAGTTAGAAATTTGTGTTACAAATGCCTTTACACTGAATTTGATAATACTACTACTTTGTAAAATATATTCATGCTGCAAACTTTGAAAAGTAAATTATCTGCCATATATCAGAGAACAATTCTACAGATAATACCCACCTGTAGGAATTTTTTCAGTAAAGTCCAAAGGAAACACATCAAGGAGTGTGTTTGTCATTTAAGAGAAAGACTAGTCCTAGGCTTACCCTCAAAAAACCCAAATTCTTACAATTTTATGCAAAATTAAGATAGAAAAAGAAAACTTTGTTATAAATTTTACATTCCAAAAAGCTGATCACTCTGCACCTTGTAGTGGAAAGGAGACACAGGCTATTAGACTGCATCCTAAGTGGATCCCCATGAGGCAGTCTGGACTGCAATAATGGAATACAAACAACACCAACAGCCTGGCTGAATAACAGGATTTCTGGGGCTTACCAAATAGGGTCACTTAGAGACAGTTTAGTGATGGTACACCCTTGAGCGTTTAGTCAATTGAAACCGATTTAGTCATGTACCTCTAGTCTTGTTAGGAAGCTTTATGTTTGCCCACTCTGAGTTTCACTTACAGTGGTCTAAATTAGCTGGCTTTAGAACACATTTAAATTTAAGACCATCTCCCTTTCAGCAGCCAAGTTTTTTTTCTGGTGAAAATCCCTACACTGAAGTGTGGGGTTTTCTAATGGTAAATTGGTTTTAACTGTTTTTCACAACGAAAATATTTTATTCCACTGTGTCAACATAAAGAAACTTTAAACATGAGTATATTTTATTTACACCTATTTAAAGAGCTATTTATATATTGCAGATGCATAAACTGTCCTTACTCCAAATCTGAGTCAAGACTGCCTATTTTAAAGTTTAAAGAAACATTCCATTTTTTATTCCAGGATTTTGCTTCCACAATTCCAATTAAAACCAGCAACAGGTAATGGCCCACCTGAATTGACAGGGAACAAAAAAATCCAAACAAAACCCAGAAACAAGAAAACACCGGTTTTGGTTATTCATTTTGTGAAAAGGCTCATCTGATGACATGACACATTCAGAGCAAACTAAACCATCAGGCTTCTTCACGTGAGGTACTTTCACAGCAGACTGATCTATACTTTATCTAGATAGTCAGGTAGCTCCAACCACAAATAGACCTCCATGTCTCCTGGAAGAGAAGAGATCCACTGATCTTGCTGCCAGCACTGGCACCCTTGGAGCAGGCATCTTCTCCTTCCCATGGCCAGACAATCTCAACGTATTCACTCTTTCCATTCTAAGCCTGAGGAACTAGGAAAATACAGAAGAACAAGACCACCATTTATTCTGATAATGTATGGCCTCATAAACCCCAACTTCCATAAATCATAAAACCTTTTCGTATGCCAGAATTCTCTAGAATACCCTTTTCTTATTAATTTAAAAGCCTGCTCCTCAAAAGGCTGAGTCTTCAAAAGCTGAGTTGCTTCAAAAACATTAGTTTGCCACATTTGAAAAAACTTTTTTTAAAAAAGTATGTGAATTTCAACATTTATTTGGCATCATGTAAAATAACACTAGGACTTCTTCAAAAAGAAATGTAAACCTTTCTGCAAAATTCTGGAACTGACAATAGATATTAGACATTTTTCTCCACTTACATGTAATTTCTATAGCAAGCTCCAACCTACAACGTGCTTTCTGTAGATAAAATTACCAATTTCAATAATATTTGCATTTGTATTATGAACATAGAAACATCTACTGTAATCAAGTCCAACTATGCTATTTTAGGCAAGACATCATATGATCACTTTCATACAAGCAATCGATGTTTCAGAAAGTTTTCTTTAACCACACTATTACCACAAAAATTCTACTCCAGTACATTGGTGTAGAGACTGTAAACCTTTTAATTCCACAATCAATTTATTAATGCTTAGATACATTTGTTCTTCCGTTAAAATTTTTTACTTAATTTTCCTTTGTATATTTATTCATTCCTACAATTATTATGAGTGTTGATATCCTCTCTCAACTTTCATTAGAATGAATAATTGTCAAACCGGTTTTCCTTATTATTCCTTGCAGTTTTCTCTTTACTCCAGTTTGATCCTAAATTTCTTTCACTGATACAAGATTTGTTGTACAGCATTATGGTTCAGATCTCATCACTGTCTCACTAGTCCAATTTGCAAGTCATCTAGTGCATCCTAATCCTAATCTCTAATAGCAGTATCTCATTATTTTCTTAAAAGCAAAATTCAGCAGTGTATCTTTAATGTTTTGTCCACGATTAAGGAATGTAGTAATGAATACTATGCAATGACTTAGCCAAATTCACTCTTCTTTCCATTAAAAAAAAAAATTTTAAAAAAATCAATTTCCAGCTGTCTTGTAGCCAATTCCTGACTCATTTTATAATTTTGGTATTCATGTACCACTTCACTGAATCTGTTGATGATTTTAGAACCCTCCACACTCTCTTAACAACTCAGCTAAAACTTGGTATGTTAAACAAGTCATTTATAATTATTTCATGCGTTCTTCCACAAAGCCATATTAATTAATCAGTACAGTTTGTTATAAATATTTGATCAACTCTGACATAAGGGTAAGAAACATAGGGGGTGCAGATATGTGTTGAAGAGGTCTGCAGCTCAGGAGTGCTGGGGAATACCTCTCCTTTTATTTGCTCCATAAACTCCCACAGGATTCCAATTACAAAGCCTATCTGCAGGAGGATTACCAGGCACCAAGCTCCAGTAAGTGGGCCATTAGAGTTGGGATCTCTTACTTTTGCTTTCTCAGCCACATCTGTGTGCTGTTCAGCAACTGGCTTTGCAGCCTCTCCTGCAACATGACACAAGTACTGCTGTATGTGATCCACTCTCTCACCACTTGACAAAACTTCTCTGCTCATGTACTGGGACTTTACAAACTTACACTGACAAATGACCTGTTAGCTATTAGCCTGCTTTTCTGAAAAAAAACCCCAAGAAACAACAAACCAACAATTGGTTGACAAAGACAGCTGAAAATTATTCCAAAACTGAAGTCCCCTAAAGTTAAAAGTTAAACATTTTCCCTGGCTTCTTTTTATTGTAAAACACCTCGAACACAAGGCCAGTTGGCTGTTATTGTGAAAACTGATACAAACTTAACAGTTATTAAGGTCAATCCCATATAAGACGTGTGGGGGACATATATGTACCTCTCAAAACTATCTGTACAGGTCTCCAGTTGAGGGGCCAGGCATTCTGTGTGCCTGACAGTCAAGTGGCAAGCAGTGGCCAGCCTGTGTAGGGCCACAGAGCAGCCAGGAGTTGAACAGAAGGCTGGGGATAGTAAGCTACTTTGGGTCATTAAGGTGGGTGAAATAAGGGACCACCTGGCAGCTCTGAGGGTAAGAGCACTCTTACGATTTGTCACAAAGTGCAGTAGTAAGGGCCCAGACATCATTAGTTGTGCTGTTTATGAGACCCCTCTGTCATAGAAGCATAGAGTGGTTTGGGTTGGAAGGGCCATAAGGGATCACCTAGTTATAACCCTTTGCCAGTTTTAATACTGTCCTTTCCCAAGACACTAAGGGATAGTGCAGGTTAGAACATAATGAGCTCATTGACCCAGATTCCAGGTAACCACACTGAGAACTCTGGTAAGACCATAGTCAAAATATGAGCTATACACACGTTCCTCTTAGTATCCAAGCATTGGTTAAAAGCTACAGTGTTTAACTGACCTTAATTCCATGCAAACAACTGCCAAAACCTCACTGAATTTCTAGTGGAACATTTCACCAATACTAATGCTCCCTTTCCAAAGATATATGGAGGATGTAACATATTTATGATTGTCTTTTAGTTAGCAATCCTTCTTACGTGTTCTTAGAATTCTGTACCTAGAAGATAATGAAACGTGTTATTTATTTTCTTATACTTTTCCTTTGGAATGTCCAAATGACCTTTAGACTATGCATTTAATTAACCTGGATATATGTTGAATCCTAGATATTACACTAAGAGACTGTAAACACAGCATACTGTTAAACTCATAAAGGAGACCAAAAACATCCAGGACAGACATTTTCAGAACATACAGGCATACACTAAAATCATAACCACTGCAGTACACTTCCTAGAAATTTTCACATCCATTCCACCAGATCTGAAAGAGCAAAGAAAACAGAACTGTGAAGTGACCTTTGAGCAGAGACGAACTTTTGTTTGTGCAGAATCTGTTGTAGTTCCTGCCAAAGCCCTGATTGGAACATACTCACATAATGTACAAATACCCTTAGCTGCTACAACTGATAAATAAAATGGTTACAGAAGTTTAAATATGCTAATGAAGTTGAGAGTGGTGGAAGATGTGCAATTATTTCTTAGTGAATAACCAAGGAAAATCTATCAAACTAGGGAGAGGATGTGTAATAACAGTGAAGCATGAACACCCAGAAGAGGGGCAAGAAAAACAGCAGCAAAGACACCAAACTGTTTGATCACATTATAATAGTAAGATAAAAATATACAAGTAAGTGTATGTATATACATACAAATGTGTGTCTTTGAAATAGCCTAGGGAATTCTGTTTTGTGGAAGTACTGAGCACACGTAAGTATCACACATAGCTCAGCTCGTGCTGTGCCTGTCTGACAATAAACAGGACCAAACCCTTGGAACGGGACTGAGGCTCGAGACTGTTCCCATCACAAGGGAAAGACCATTCAGAAGTTACAAATAACCCTGTGCAGGTAGACGCTCTCTCCTCTTCCAACACAGCTGGCAAAACCAGTCTAAACTCAACCCTGATTTGGTACTTTATTATTTACAAACAATTATAAAACCAGCCATCTGCTTTTTTCAGAAAGCAAATACAGCTGTGCTACAGCATTCACCAATTTAAAAAAAAATTAAATCTTTGTACTTCATAGCAGGTATCTTATGAGAAATTAATTGTTCTTCAATGGAAAATTAAATTTATTATGTGGCCTTCTCCCAGCTTGGATAGTATGTCTTGCTAGGGAGCAGGATTTTAAAAAAGGGAAATCTACGAGCTGGCATTTTATAGAACACTTTGTGCACCTAGGATGAAAGAATTAAGCACAGTGAAGATGAAGAAATTGTATAGATTTCCCTAGAGAACTTCCAGAGTTTTTTTCATAGAAAATTTAACTGTGCATTAATATACGTTTTGAAAAGGTCAAGATCAGTATTCTAAGATCTAATATTAAAAGTATTATATAATTGAGTCTACTATATATCCATCAAAATTATTTGCTATTTTCATTCCTTGTCCATTCAAAAGGAGAGAAATTAATGACTTATTAGTAAGTTTTAAAGAGATCACTCTACACTACACATCTAATTTACATTCACTAAGATGAGTATGAGGAACAGGTATCTGTAGGATTTGGTGACATTTCTAATTGCTGACTAAAAAGACAAGAGTGGTTTAAAATGTAATTAAACTATAAATACTGAGTACAAGTTCCACGCTTTTATGTTCCATTAATGTGTTGATTGTCACTGATTGCCTAAGATTGAAAACACAAAGAGAATTCCAAGTTCCTGCCTGGAAATTTCAATGCAACTGAGTCTCACAGGTTTTTCCTAAATAACTGAACTTCAAAGAAAAATAATATTCAGTCAATCATTTTAGGACAAGCAAAAAAATGCACAGGACATTTTGAGACATTTAATCCACAAAAATGACATTTATCAATAATAAATGTTGAGACAGTATTCTCAGATTGAAAGGTGACACAGAGACTTTAAAGCTTTGTGTTCTTTAGAAGTGATAAAAAAATCAACATGATAAAAACCCAGTATGATACCAGTAGGAAATAAGGAAATTGCACTAATTCCTGGGAGCATTCCAAAAGTGGAAAACTCCCACTCTTCGAGCAGTGATCATTAAATGCATGTTCCCTGACAAACACCTGAACCCATTAAGATAAAGCAGTAATCACTTAAATGAAGTAAAACTGTCTGGATTTTATCCTAAAATTAAATTTCTCAATCAAGTTACTTTGCAAACTATTTTCTCAGCCAAAAAAGATCAAAAACTACAATTTTAATTTTCAGGGAAAAAAATGGGATTAAAGTTACATACTGTAATTATAAATCTGGTGAAAATAACTGCAAATTCTGTAAAAGAAAATTACAACTTTTAATGGCTTCTGTAGTCTGTCACTTTTGCATGTGATCAAAATGTGGGGTTTTTTTCAAAACATGCATGCAATATTAAGCATCATTGGAGAATAATTTAGCTTACCTTATTATAATAGCATGTTTTACTTAAAATAAAGATGTGGATTTATATTGAATACATCCATAATTATATTACATACTCTACAATGCATCTTGAGCTTCAGTTTGCATTTACACATGAAGCTTAACTTTTTAAAAATAATTAACCCTATTTACACTAGGGTTACCCTAGTTAACACCAGCGAAAAAAGTGCTACATGTTTAAATCTCTTAAGTAGAGAGCATGGACAAGCCAAACCTATCAATCAAACCAGAGAGGGTTTTTTGTAACTAGGTAAGATCCACAGTCCATTAGTATTAACACCTATCAGTAACTAAATATACAAAAGGCCACACGTTCTTCAAAGTATGCAGAATACAAAGTTTGAAATGTAAGCCTCAGCTTTACAGTTTGATATCGGTGAACAGCATTTTCCTGGGATTTCTTCTTGACTCTGTTAAATCCTCCTCTGCTGTCAGTTAACTTTGTCTATGGCTTTGGGTAATGCATAAGATTATGCCATTCCTTGCTTCGGTAAATCATGAACAAAAATAGGAATAATATTTTGAAATAAGTCAACTGATTCTTTGATTATACATTTTTTATGCAGTTACTTCTGTGTTTAAAATATTTTGCGAAGACCAATCTATACTCAGCTATAACTGAGACTTATTCTAGACAAAAAGACCTTCTGGCCTGTGTAGAAACAGCAATTTTCCATATTAACAGTGAGCTGGCAATGCTGAACCACAACAGCAAAAAAGGACGATTGTAACAAATACCTGCAATAATACAAATTTCAGCATTTTTGCATCATTTGTACATGGTCAATACAGGATGGATGACCTGTATGGATATAAGTATTTCTAAAGGCAAGCAACAAAAAGACGGGTTGTAAATTTTCAAATAATTTTTCAGCTATGGCTCAGCTCCAGAACCAATGGGCAAGCAAATTTATTACTTTTTGAGGATTTACAGATGGCCTATAATTGAGGGCACAGAGGAATCCAGTTCTGACAAGCATTGGAATTCTTAACAGAACAATGAGCACGGGATACAAAAGGCTTTTGTTCGGACAGATCCTTAGGAGCCAGAACGCTGCTAGGGTGATGCAGCGCGCTGCATCTGCTCTCAGGACAATCAGCTCCCCTTTATAGTCAATAAAAGGCGAGGAGTGCCCAGCCTGCTGCGACAGCCCTGCCAGGGGTCCGGGCGGCTCTCCAGCAGGATGGATGCGCTGCCGGCAGCACCTCAGCGGGATGTGCTGATGGCAGAGATGGGCCGCGCATCACCTGTCCTCAACGGGGCGCGCTGCCACCAAGAACCACCTCCCTCCCCATGCCCCTCAAGTGTATAACCACCTCCTTGTGCCGCACAGGGCCGTGGGAGGCAGAACTTAGCGGGCAACTACGTTCCTTCTGCCACTGCCGGGGTTTTCGGCCGCCCCCAGCCTCATCGGCCCCAACCCCGCAGCAGCGGCCGCCATCGCCCCCGCCCCGCCCGCCGGGGGAGGGCAGCGCCGGCAGCGCCCCTACTGCGCATGCTCAGGGCGCCCGCGCCTGCGCCCCGCGGCGGCCCCGTTCATTCTAAGGGAGGACTAATTCTGACATGACGGGCGGGATGGGGCAAAGGGATCCCCTTCTCTCACAGCGCGGCTCGGCCGCGGCATGCGGCGCTCTTCGCCACTGCCGCCTCTCCGCAGGCGGCGAAGCGCCAGTCCCCCCTGAGCGCTCCCTCCGAGCAGCGCGCACCCACCTGCAGCCAACACCCGCAGCTCACCGACCGGTCTGGCCCACCCTCCGCAGCGGCCGCGCCAACAGATTGGTTCCTTCCGGCGTCATTCTGCTGCTCCTTGCACTCGGAATGGCTTCGCGGGCCGCCACTCCAGGTGAGAGCCCGCCCATCTCCCTGAGAGGGTTCCTCTTTGACGACACCGCGGGTGCTCCGCCGCAGGCACCGCCTTTTCTGATAGGTCGCTACCTGGCGCATTGCGCTGTCACTCACAGGGCGCTCTGGCGTCGGATTGGTTGGAGGTTTCGGGGGCGGGGCCCTCCGTGTTTCCCGCACGATGATAGGCTGTCGCCAGGCCCGAGGGGCGGGTCCTGGCGGCGCGGGGCGGGCCCGCGGGAGGGAGCCGGGAGCAGGGAGCGCGGCCGGGCCGGCGCTGCGGGGCCGGGCCATGGGCAGCGTGCGCTGGGCCTTCCCCTGCGGCGCTTGGCGACCCCGCCGCTGCGAGTGGCTGCTGGCCGCGCAGCTGGTGCAGCCCGAGGAGAAGGAGCGCATCGGCCAGTTTGTCTTTGCCCGCGATGCCAAAGCCGCCTTGGTACATGGGGAGCGGGGACGCGGTTGTCTCTCTGCGCTGTCAGCGTTGCCCAAATTCTTGATTTGTCGTAGGAAAACATGCTCTGCAAGGGCGTTTCAGGGATGCAAAGCTAAAGGATATACTTGTTTAAAAGTATAAAGCTCTCCCTCGCTGAGGAGTAAAGAGAGACGGCAGGCTGCTGTCAGTAGTTATTCTAAAAGACCTCACAACTTCTAAGTCGTGATACCAAGTCAGGAGACAAAATCCGCATACTCTAGGAGACTCTGCATAGGACATCGGTGTAACGAGTAGGAGAATAAAGCTGTTTTACATGATTCAGGTTTTAAATCTCGCGTAATACACACCTGCTAATTAGTCTGTAAGGAGTTATCACTTTAGCTATTGCGTATTTCATTTAGCACCTAAGTAGTGAATGGATGTAGTGAAAGGAAGGCTGTTGAGATAATTTTACTGTTCAGGGTGTTGTAAAAAGCATTTATTTGTTCCATAAAGTATCGTAAATAAGGTAGAGACAGGAACTACTGTGATTTGTCTAGGCTGGGACTGCTTTTCATCTTGTGTTGACTGTATTAATGGTGACAATGTATTTGATGCTCCAGTGAACTCTTTTGCTTAAACTTACTTGACACAGCTTTCATAAAAGGGAGAAATTTAAATTATTTGGCTGAAGTACAAGGCTTGATATCAACAGTAATAAACCAACGCTTTTTAGACAGGTGGTTTTCTAGCAGCCACACAGCACAATAGTTCCGTATGAATTATTTCCATTTTATTTCATAGGCTGGTCGCCTGCTGATGCGGAAATTAATTGCAGAAGAGCTATGCATACCATGGAATGAAGTACACTTGCAAAGGACATCAAAAGGAAAACCTTTCCTGGCCAATAACTTACTCGGTATCCATTCAAATTACAACTTCAATGTCTCCCATCAAGGAGACTATGCAGTCCTTGCAGCTGAGCCTGAGCGTCAAGTTGGCATTGATATTATGAAGACTGATTTACCAGGTAATGCATTATGGTGACTAAAGGAGATTCTGCAGTGTTTTAGTACTGAACATTTTCACATTTCCCAAAGAACCAATCTATGTCCTAGAAATTTAGTATAATTAGAAGAGGGTGTATGACTGTGTTGTGGATTTGGGATTTCTAGGTGGTAAATGCACTCTTCATTGTTTATTTTGGGGTATATTATAGGACAGGTACAGATATATTTTTCATTTAGAGAAGCAGAACCCTGGGAAAATAAGGTCATGAATCTTTCTATCATATGGGCAGTACTAGCATCTGCAGATACTTTAATTATGGATTTGCCATCTGTGAGGCAGAAGCAGGAACATCTTTCCAAATAGGTACAGTGGGATCCATCCTCGTGAGAACTTCATAGTCTATATTAGTCAGTTGTCCCATAAGTATGGACATTTTCTGTGTCAGCCCATTGGCAATACAGATTCTATGTGAATGTGCAGTAATCCTTAGTGAGAGGGGATCATGAGGAAGGAACATGTGCTTTTGGGAAAAGACTAAACTTCAAAAGAAATTTTTATTGGCCTATTTATTTGTATTAAATGACTGTAGAGATTAGTGAATTTCAGGATCAAAATTAGAATTGTAGCAAAATGTGTTTTTAAACACAGTTTTATGGAGATCATTTAGTTTGCAAATGTTCATTGGTGCATGACTGGGTTAAAGGAGAAGCATACTGGGATTTATGATTCACTGGAATTCTGGTTTTATTAGAATCTACCTTGAACATTTAACCAGATATGACAGTAGTAGTTGTGTCCTTAGAGAATCTCTCTTCACAGTTTTTGGAGTTGCCTGGCATTTTATGCTGCAAAATACTTTGTGTTGTAAGGTAGAGATTCAGATAAACCCTGACTGGATAACTTTCTGTCTGATCACTTTGCACCTTTTTAATGATAACTACAAATATACGGTTTTGTATTGTCACATTTAGCTAGGATGCACAGAAACTTTGCTGCAATCTGAAGTTCTTTCCAGTGACTCACTCTGAACAAGGTGGTCAGGGTGTGAGGCCACAGGATAGGTAGGCTTTGGAGGATCCTCCTACAGAGCTGTTGTGTCTCCTGATAGGAATTGTCCATTGGGTAAGACTGCTTTTGTACAGGGGCACACCTGACAGGACTGCAGTAGCCCAAAGCCTAAATAACCAGATTAAGCTTGAAGCTGGGGCTTTTATCATAGCCCTCTCAGGCAAAGCAGGCAAGGTGATATTCCAGCTGTTTCTCCTCACAGCATCTTGCACACCTTCAGCCTGTTTACTGGGGGAGCAGAGTTACAGAGAAGGCCTTGCTGCTGTGCAAACACTGCTGAAACCGGTATCAACGCTGGGTTAGGCATAGACCTGAAAAACAGCACTCTACAGGCTGCCATGAGAAAGGTAACGCCTGGACCCTGCAGCCTGGGAAGCACTCTGGTTGGGCCACTGGCCTTACCACTGCACTCACTAGTTTTAATTCCTCATCCATAAAGTTTCTTGTTTCAGTGGGTAAATAGTGAAAATGTTCAAGCATTTGAAGTTTTCTCGGGAAGTGCAAAATTCAAATTTATACTGAAAAATAAAAAAAAAAAAATTATGTGGAAGTAGGGGTTTCTTACATCCTCTACTGGTATTTTATGCAGCCGGCGTTTTAAAGGCATGTTGTCAATGTCCAGCTGACGAGTTTTATGAAGCATGTTTAACTTTATTTCTGAAGTCTTAGTAAGGCTTTGAGATCTGATACAGACAGGCTTCAGTGTTTTTACCCTGAGAGAGAAAAATGGTTGTTATTTTGGAGATGCTGATTATTCCAAAAACTGAACAGTGAAAGGTGACTCATATGTCTTCCTTTTCGTAATTATAATTTGTATTTTTGAAAAAGAAATAAGGTACTAATGGAAATATAATAATTGTATGTGGGAAAGAGAGCCAGTAAATAAGTAATATTAAGGATAGAACTTCATATTACAGAGACTATAATTTAAAGCTGGCCATCTTTTCACCTAAAATTTTTCTGAAGAAGGTTTTTGTCTTAGTAGAATCACCTGCAACTGGTTTTTGTTGCTGGGCTATGAATAGATAACACTGACTTTACCAATATTATTCTCTCTGATAGTTCCACTGAGTGGTGCTCTTGTTCTGCACTTGCTAAGTACATTATATTTCTGAAGGTGTATCCACTATAAATCTCTTTCCTTGGAAAAGCTCGAAGAACAAAGAGTATGAACAAAGTACATTTCAGTAGGTTTGTTTGTTTCCTTCAAAGACTTGTTTAAGTACAAAGTACTTCATCTTGTGATGTTATCTAACAGCATCTTGATTGAGGTCTCGAGTATTGTAGCTCATATATATTCCTTTATTGTTCAACTAACAAGAATGCAAAATCTGCAGTGCATATGTACACGAGTATCATGCAGCTGAAAGTTTTGAGAAGTCTGCTGTCTGTGTGCTACTATGTGACAAGGAGTCTTGATGCCCATAAACATTTTATGTCACTTCTTAATCCCTGCTATGTAGTTTTGTTTTACTTATTGTTCGTAAGAAGCTGCCTCTTTCCATATTACTTGTGCTTCATTATTAAAATCTGAGAAATTAAACTACAAGACATAGCCTTCTTCAAAGGTAAAGGCAGGCCACACTAGAGGCTATTCTTACCACTGCAAACAGCAGCAGTTCTACAAAAGTTCCACAGGTGTGCAGCAGTTTATCACCTTTTTTCCTCTATTCACGTATTAAAGGATATACTGTAGGGATGGTAGAAAAGGAAAATATCATCTTTAGGTATTGTTGCTTCTAGATATAGATATATACAGGTATTGTATATCCTCTTTAGTGTTGTTGCCTTTTCGTTATCTGGCAGGTTATTGTAGATCTAAGTCAGTCTTTCAGTTTAGTTGTTTATGAAGAGTTACTGAGATCAATGATTGTTTTTCTTCTCTTTAGATCAGTTTAAGATGAATTCTTGAGTCATTTGGAAAAATGCACACTGTCCTGTAAATTTGTTAGTAGAAGTGTCTCTGGACATTATTTGGCCAGAGAGGTAATGCATATGAATTTATTTTAAGCCTTTCAAAAAAGAAATGAGAAGGATTCTCACAGTACTGTTAATTCCTGTGGAAAAAACTAAGCTTGTCTTTGATTTTTTTGTCTCATGGCAAAGAAATTCTGCAGTAAGTGTCAACTTGGTTTGAGTGGTGTGTGGGATGTTGATTGACCAAACACTTAAACTTTGTAAACGTTTTCAGAGACTTAGGAAATAATTATAGCTTAATAAAGACTGCCTTGAGCATTTGAAAAAAGTTTAAATCTTAGGCTCAAGAGCACTCTTGCTGTGCAAGTGAATTTCTTTTCACTAATGCGAATTTTTAGCTTAGATGCATTTGCAAAGATAAAGAAATGGACAGTTCATTCCATATCTTTGAAAATCAGCCTGCAGTCTTTCTTCCCTCTCCCATTATATTTATTTTGATCCAGACATGTCCAGTCTCAGTTTTATTCCAGAATTAAATATTTGACATGCAATAGAATTAGCTTTTCTCATTAGTGTTTTGGTTTTATGCTAGGCTTGCTTGTTAAAAGACACAAAAGGGTAAATTTTCTGCACGTGAATTTCACAGAAAAATTAATTTGATCTAAAAATACTCCAATAAATGCTTTTTTAAGAAAGTAGGCTATTATGTGCAAACACCGAACTATTTGAAACTGGTTTTCTCTGAGGCAAGGAAATACAAAGAGAACTTGACTCGTTTTTCTCTTTTTATTCTCATTATTACGTTATTGAGGTGAGGTAATGTAAGAGATGATAGAGATCTTCAAATCAGAGACGGGTCACACATGTATATAAGTCCCACATGAAGAAGCTAAATACTGTACTTCATTCTGGCTAGTGGAGGAAAGCTCTCTCTCCAGAAAATTTTAGACTTTGTGCTGTTAATTTTGGTGTATTCATAAGCCTAATTGAGTTAGGCACACCTACGTCATAAGATATTTGGCATGTCTTTTAGCTAGCAGCCATGTTCATTCTTTTGATTTGCAATGCTTATTTAATTGCTGCATTTCAGCTTTTCAGTAAGAATTTCCTGACCTAGAAACAAATTCCAGATCAGATTGTTCTTTGGAGTGCTTTTGTCCTTAAGGTGATTTACCTTTACTTTAAACAGAGTTTTAACTGTTTCTGGTTTTATTGTTGTATTTCAGTAAATCTCATAGCAGCCATCAACATCTGATCTTTTACTGCTAGAGATAATCACCAAATTGTTAGCTAATGCTACAGCTTTAGGTTTGTAGACTGAACTACTTGGAATGAAGAAATTAACCAAGGGTTTGATTTAAATGTTACTTCTTACAGATCAAAGAAGTCATAATTTATAAATACATATACAAGCACATCATTTTTAGATGTGGAGGGTGTTAAAACAGCTGATATCCTTGTTGAGCTAAAGAATCGCAGCGATGCTATGCACTTACACTGAGTAAACAGGGAGGCATTTCTTTGTTCTAGTTCTATTTGCAACTGGGAAGAAACAGCCATCTTAATGTATTCTTAAAGAATGTATAATATGTAGCAATTTCATTGCTGTGCTTTATTCATGTTTCTAAACACAGTTTTAACCTGGAACTACACAATTCTGTAATTGATAAAGCACCAATGCTTGATAAATTGAAAGAAAGTTGATATTGTAATTAAATCACCTCTTTAAAGGAAAATTTCTTTATTTTCCAAAGAAACACTCTTAATCCTTTATGACTATTTCTTTAATAGAAAAATGTAAAACCATTTGGATTAAAATATAAACTGATAGCAAAATGCAGAACTATAAAATTAGGATGTGAAGAATATATTTTTAAAATGAAGGATAAACTGGCAAGAAAGAAAGTAAAAGCCCTAAATTAGGAGCTTTTATTAAAAATAAGAGTTGGAACAAAGAGTAACTATAAGACTGCTTGTCAGATTGTTTTGGTGTTGTGGCTTTTTTTTTTCATTCTGCACACTGAATTTGCAACA